GTGCTCTTCTTATGCCCCTTCTTTAATTTTTCACAACCCCCGGGAGCTTTTCTTTTTCTTCACAGCATTCCGATGCCACCTTTCTTACAAAGCTGTCCATTGCATCCACAAAAAATGACTTCACTGACTCTACTAGCCCATAGATTTTATTGCTTCTCATTGTTAGCACACCTATCTTTGTGAATAATAACTTACAATGGAATATTCGTGGCCTTAGGGGTAATCGGGGAGAACTCCAGGTGTTCCTCTCCCAGTTTTCCCAGTATGTGTCAGGGTTTCAAGAGCCTAAAGTTCGTTCACAGTTATTCATCCCATTTCGAGTTTTTCCTGTAGCATTCTTCTGATTCCCTTTCCTGATAAAACTTTTAATGAGAGTGCGCTTTTTGTGTACGTGATATACAGTTTCAACAGGTCATTGTTCATTCTCGGCTGCATTATATTGCAGCCCGTATTTATCTGCACAAGTGGTATACAGTTTGCTTTCTCTATGTTTCCCGTTTCCTTGCATTCTGTATCTCGGGTTTTTGCGTTCTTGATCTCTTCTCTGCCGCTGCCCATCTTGTTGTTAGGTGATTTTAAACGCTCATCTCATCCCCTTCATGTTTTAAACACGGGTGCTCCACCTATTTTGACTCTCGTACTCGGTCTCTCTTTTGCATCGATCTTTCTATCTGTTCCTCGTCAATTGCCCTCGATTACGACTGGTCTGTTCTCTCGGATTTGCACGACAGTGATCACTTTCCTATTATTCTTACTTCTACTATATATTCCTGACTGCCTCGCAGTCCCCACTGGCAATTTGGACGAAAGAATGGGAATTTATACTCCAATCTTACCGCTATTTGTGGGGACCCTTCTTCCTCCTTTATTGATGAGCTGGTGCATCAGTTTTCGACCTTAGTTTGGACTGCAGTGTTATGTTCTATTCCTCAATCCTCAGGCAGGCATTCTCAGACATACGTGCCTTGGTGGTCTCCTGTGTGTGCCTATGCAGTGCATCAGAAACGTGCTGCATGGGGCCATTATCGATATAATCGGATTTCAGATTGTCTTTTGTATTTTAAGTTGACAAGGGCAGTCACTCGCCGCGTCGTACATAACGCTAAATGTACTTGTTGGCAAGACTACGTTTCTACTGATACCTCGACTTTCCCTATTTGTGCGGTTTGGAAGAAGGTTCGGAAGTTGTGTGGCAAGTACGTTCCAGACCCAGCTCCCATTTTGCGGGTTGCTGGTGTTAGTGTTGCGAAGCCTCTTGAAGTTGCCATGGAAATCGGGAACTATTTTGTCCATGTCTCCTAAGGGCTTCACCTCTGTCCCTCGTTTCTCACTTTTAAGTCTGCCAGAGAGAAATTGCCTTGGATTTCTATTCTAATGGGATGGAGGCACATTACGTACGATTTACTCAGAGCTAGAGTCCACGCTTTCCGCTTGCCAGTCATCGGCAGCTGGACCCGATGATGTTCATATCCATATGCTACAATATCTGCATTCTACAGCCCTGACAGTAGTTTTGCGTCTTTTCAATATTATTTGGACGCGAGGGGTTCTCCCTCAGCAATGGAAATCTGCCATTGTACTAACATTTCGCAAACCAGGCACTTCAGAGCTTGATACCTCTCACTGTCGTTCCATTGTTCTGATCTGTGAAGTCTGCAAGGTGATAGAACGATTGGTTAAAGACGTCTAATACGGTATTTACAGACTTACAATAGTCTTTCTCCTCGCCAATATGGCTTTCGCAAGGGCCACTCTACTTTGGATCCCTTGCTTAACTTAGATACGTATGTGCAAAGTGCCTTTGCTATTTAACACTCTATCTTAGCAATCTTTTTTGATCTAGAGAAGGCATATGGCACCACATGGAGGTATAACATCTTAGCCCAGGCCCAGTACTTAGGTCTCCATGGTAATCTACCAACCTTCCTTGCTGCTTTATCTGAAAGATATTTTCGTGTCCGTGTTGGTGCTTCACTTTCCTCAGACTTTGTTCAAGCCTAGAGAGTCCCACAAGGTTGTGTCCTTAGCACTACCCTTTTAATCCTAGCTATAAATGACGTACCTTCAGTTCTTCCATTGCTACCTGCGTACGCTAAAGCGATGGCTTTAGCTTACGCAGCTAGCGGCCTCCCTTCAGGATGCGACTGACCATGTTTCCCATTGGGCCACTTCTCATGGATTTAAATTTTCTAGTGAGGAAACCCATTTCATTACTTTCACTAGATGTCCTCATGTCCCAGATATTTCTATATGTTTACATAATTTGCATATACAAGAATGTGTTACATTCAAGTTTCTAGGCCTTCTATTCGATTGCTGGTTAACATGGAAATCGCACATTTCCTTTTTGAAGGCAGCTGACCATGGTCGGTTGAATCTCCTTAAAATTCTCACGCATCGTTCATGGGAACAGATCACCGGATTCTCTTCCATTTGCATTCCACCCTAGTCTTGTCCAAGCTGAATTATGGCAACCAAATCTAATCTGTGGCTTCTCCTATAAGTCTTTCTAAGTAAGATCCCCTTCTTCATCATTGTCTATATTTATGCCTTGGTGCCTTTCGTTCATCCCATGTTGAAAGCCTCTATGCTGAGACGAATGTTCTTTCCTTAGCAGACTGTCGTGATGCTCATTGCCTTTGTTACTTTGTCCACGCTCTTGATCTTCGTATTCCTTCTGTATATAGGTTGGTCTTAGACGTTAGTAGAGGCCCGTTATTTGTTCGGTGTCCTTGCTTACTCCGTTTCCCCTTCGTCCTCACTCACTCTGGTCTCTCCAGTTTCCTCTCTTGCATGTTCAAGTATCATCTACCTTTTCCCTTCCCCCCCCCCTCTTGGGAGGTTCCGATGGTTCGTGTCTGTTCTTCCCTACCGCCATGTGCCAAAGCTCTCCTACATGTGGCTGCCCTTCACTCTCTTTTTCTTGATCACTTCCAATCTCATGCTCATGCTGTCACTGTTTATAAAGATGGTTCTAAATCTTCTGATGGTGTTGGGTTCACAGCGGTGCTCCCTGACGAAGTTGTCCAAGGCCATTTGTTAGACTCAACTAGTAATTTTACCGCCGAATTGTATGCCATCCTCACAGTTGTATGCCATCTTCATATTTATATTACATTTGTGATCATTTCGGATTCCCTCATTAAACAATTTGATTCCCCTCATACAATGGTTCTTCGTATTCAACTTTAGTTGCGCCTTGTAGCTAGCAAAAATGAAGATGTTTTCTGTTGGGTCACTGGACACATTGATGTTCACGGTAATGAACAGTCAGATGATGCTGCACAGTCAGATGATGCTGCACAGTCAGCAGTACGTGATTTCCAGTTTCCTATAGAGGTATTCCGTTCAGGTATTATTTTACCATTTCTATGCATCTTCGTGGTCTTAGGCAACAATGGTGGTTGGACATGCACCATAGCAAATTGCACTCTAATAAACCGTTTTTGGGACTGTGGCCCTCTTCTTACCACTGTTGCTGTATTTGGGAGTCTTTACTCTCCCATCTCCGCAATCAGCCATGATCGCCTTACCCATGGGTATCTCATGGAATGACACCCTATCATTCTCTGTGAGGTTTGTTGGGTCCCTATTTCAGTTCTTCACTTTCTTGTGGATTGTCCGGTTTATGTGCGGGGCAATGAACAGGTGGACACTGTTGCACGGTCAGCAGTGCATGATCTTCCGATTTCCTATAGAGGTAGTCTATTCATGGATTATTTTACCATCATCTCTATGCGTCTTCACGGGTCGTTGGCAACAACGGTGGTTCGTACATACACCATAACAAATTGCACTATTAAACTGCTTTTGGATTTGTGGCCATCTTACCACCTTTGCCGTACTCAGGAGACTGCGCTCTTCCATCTCGGCATCGGCCATATTCGCCTTACACATGGGTATCTCATTGAATGACACCCTATCCCTCTCTGTGAAGTTTGTCAGGTCCCTATTTCAGTTCTTCACTTTCTTGTGGATTGTCTGGTTTACCAGTGAGCTTTGCAGGATTTACCTCCACCATCGCCACCACCCTACCAGTCTTACCTTACCTTCCCTTTTTGCATACAGCCCTGCCTTTGACTTACGATCACTGTTTGAGTTTTGATCAGCAACTGATTTACTATACGAAGTTTGACACATAGCCCTTAACATCCTTTTCCCGCCTTTTCTTCCCTCGCCTCTGTCCCCCCCCCCACTT